AGACCTTTATATAGCAAAGGGGATGAAGTTTTTCACTCCCTTCCAATTTTCCACTTAGGGAGTAAACAGGAAAACCGACCTGGCCTGGTAGCTAACTTGGGAGCACACAGTGGTTTTCTGTGATGCTCCCCACCCTCTCCGGCTGTGCCATGGTCAGCAGGGTGACGCTGGGTCCAACACCCCTGTCTCCTAAGCTTCCCTTGGAGGGAGCCACAGCCTGCAGCCACTCCTGAGCAGCAATGGGGGTGTGGGGCTGGTCTGTGTCTGTGCTGGTAGTGGGCAAAGCAAAGGCAGGAGCGTGGGCACTGCACCTCAGCCGCGTGCAGGGTGGGCATTGTCACCTGCTTGTGCCACCAGGAACGTTTTCCTGTGCCCTTCCCTAAGGGCAGTGTGCCCCAACATGCTGGGACCTCTCTCTGCCACAGCACGGGGGGCTGGGGTAGAGCTCTGGAGGTCAGGCTGGGGAGCTGGAGGACACAGCATAGTTCAATGTACACAGGAACAGGCATCAGAAAACAGCATGAGGAAAAAAAAATAACCAGCAGTGCCAGCAACAAATGCATCCCTAGCTGTGGCAAGTTCTCAGGCCCCAAGAGGTGCAGCAGGTCTCTGACCCACTCAGCAAGACAGGCCATGTGACAGCAGTGAGCCCAGCAGAACAAACTCTGGTAGCAATGTGATGGCTTAAGTCATTGCCACAAGGCTGGGACAACCAGGAGGGGAAGTTTCTTCAAATAAAAGGAAAGTTGCATAACCGCTGCCCAGATCCTTCAAGCTGGGCCTGATGTCCCCTCCAAAATTAGGATGACTTCCCCCTTGCATCAGTTTCCAGCTGAATGTGTGGCACAGAGTGAACTGGGGGTTGTGAACCCCATCCACAGGGTGCGCTGGGATGGAGGCTGTGGAAGGAGGGTGTCCATCCTGGCACAGCCCAGCAGCTTCTGGGAAGTTGCACATGCTTGAGGGAGTGGGAAAGCAACTTGAAAACCATTGTCTGCAAGGCTCATCACAGCAGCCAGTTTTGAAGCTCCTCCACTGAGCTCACATGCTGGTGACCAGAGGGCCAAAGCTGGAGGATGCCTCCTGTGAGTGCTCTGCTGCCTGAGGTGAGGCTGGGCAAGGCACTGAGCTTTACCTCCCCCAGGCCTCTCCTCTCAGGCCACCTGGGACAGCAGCAGGAAAGCTTCAAGAGGCTTTGTCAACAAAGCTACAGCGAGAGTTTAGGTCTGGCTGTTTCTGAGTCCCTTTCAAAAGGGACAGCAAAAAGCAAAGCAAACAGAACTGTGGCGTAAGCACAAGAGCTCACTGCGTACAAACAGGTGTTTGCCCAGTGCAAAGACGTCTGTGAGAGCAACACTGCCAGCCCTAAGCAGCTGGACACAGGCTCGATTATGGAATTAAAAGGCCACCCTGACCAGCGTTGCTCATTCCCAGGCACCGTTCATGTGTATGAATCACTGTCCTTCCCCTGAGTCATTAATCACTCCAAAATCAATAAAGGCCACATAAGTTTTTCATGTATCAGCCATTAGTGTGACCTTGTGTCTATCTCTGCAGAGGGTATGAAATAAAAGCGTTTGAGATGAAAGCAGCCGCGCTGAATTTCCGTGGCGCTGGAGCGGTGCAGCCGCTGATTTACAGCCGCTGAGCTCACGCCGCGGCTGCTTTGGTTCCCCAGAGCCCTGAGCAGTCACAAAGCCCTTGTTGTCCCCCAGGGACACAGCAGGCAGGAGGAGACTGCTCCAAAATGATGTTCTTTAGGATTTATTTCCTTATGGACAGGGACTGCTTTCTTGTCCAGGAGCAAGTGTCTACAATGCTCTCAATGCTCTCGGGCATGAGCAGATGCATGTCCTTCTCCAGGCACTCACTCTGGTGGGATCACAGCCAGAGCTCTGTGTCCCCCTCCCCTGTCACTGCCCTGCTGCCACCCTTCTCCTGCTGCAGAGCAAACACTTCACACAGCAAAGCTTGCTGGAGAACCGCTACCACTGGGAAGGGGGACCAGAAGGACCAAAGTCATTCACCAGGGAGGGGGCGTGGTAAACTCAGCCTTCCACAGCCCTTGGACCACAGGCTGAGGCCTCCTCCAGCTGGTCAGGCAGCCATAGGAGCCAGAATACCTCTGTATCTTCTGAATGCATTTATCTCTTTGGGAGTAAGACAGCAGGAGCCAGATAGGGCCAATTACCATCACTATTGACCACGTCTGCATCCAGCTTTCTGGGTCAGGCCTGCTCTGATTTTCATAGAGGCAGGCAAAAGGCCAGTGAAGCAGGAAACCACAGTGTTCAGAAATGCCTCTGGGGCACAGTGACAGATCAACCAGGTCCACAAAACCCAAATTCCTTCCAAATGCTGTGTGCCAGAGGCAGATATGCTGCTGTCCCACATGGCCCGCTGATGAGTCCATACCAACCCCTCATCAGCCCATCACAGCCCTCCCAATTATCTCTGGCTAAAGCTGCAGCAGAGGCCATAGAAATATTTGCCAAAGGAAAGAAAGTGGTTTACTTTTGAGGAAAAAAATGGGTCTTTGAGCTAAGTGTGGACATGGGAGGGTAGTTTAGGACACTGTAATGTGAAGCTCCTGTAATAGCAGAGGAAACACAGCTTGGACTTAAACAGTTTCAAGACTTCCCAAAACCTGAAACCAGAAGTAACCATGCCTACTGGAGACAGCCCTTAATCATGGATAGTTTGGGTTTTAATTTAAAATCACCTCCTGTTCACTTTTCCCCAGCTTTTTGTGCAGGGACTGTATCAAGTCCCAGCTATCCAAGCCCCTCTCATGAATGCTGTGGTCCTGGCAAAGGCACAGGGGCCAGCTTGGCCTTGCAGGCTGGTTCCATCCACCGTCCAGCAATGCTTCCTACAACACTGGGATCCACCTGCCTGGCACAAACCAGCCTTCACCACACCAAAGGCACCCAGCAGGCACCCTCCCTTTGTGCCCTCCCTTAGGTGAGGCATCTTCCCACTGTGCCCCTCCCTCCCTCTCCACCTGACACCAGTGGGTGTTTTTACTGGAAACACCGCAGCACTCAGCCCTGTCACACCAGAATAGCTGTGGCCAGCCTGTGGCCAGCCCATGGCCGGGTGCTGCTCTCATCCCTCAGTCTTTACTGGCCGCTTCTCCCCAGTGACATCATCCCCTTCTTGCTCCTCCAGGCAGTGACCACTTTCCAGGGCAGCTATGGTGGTGTTCCTCACTCTGTCTGGCTGACACATCGTGTGTCACACACAGGCACAGCCCTTTTGGCTTTGCCTGGAGCATCTCCCCTGACACAGTTTGGGGAAGACGGATGCAGACTGCAGATCCCAGCCTGCCATTCCCAGAGCAATCCCACTCTACATGCACTTCAGGTTTGCTGCACATATGCAGCCTGTGGCAGATTTGGTAGTCAGTGGCACACACCTCTGTGACTCAGCAAGCACCCAGCCCTGCCCCACTGCTTTGTCCTGCTCTCCCTGCAGCAGGAGCTCCCTCAAAGCCTCCAGCTCCCTGAAAGCCTCAAAGCCAACAGCCCCTGTGGCTCCATGATGCAGTTCTGGGGGTTTTTGGTCCTTGATAGGCATCAGCTCACAGAAGTAAATGCACCCAAGCTGCACTAGCAAAAATTCCCCAGAGATTATATAGGGGATTTTATTCAAGGGTGATTCTGGTTTAATCTTGCAGCTGGGCTTGCTATAAACCTTTGGACTAGAGCACGTACAAGTAACTCCACCTGCCTGGCTGACTACATTAGGATATTGTTATAAAAAATGTCACTTTGACATTTATAATAAAATGTGAAAGTTGAATGCTGAAGGATGGCAGAGGGCCAGTGCTGGGCAGCTGTGGGGGAGGACAGGCTTCCCCTGCCTGTGCCAGTGCAGGTCACCCTGGGCCAGGCAGCCCCTGCCCACCTCTGCTGGCACACAGGCGTGGTGGCACCGGAGGGGAGGATGCCCATGTGGCTGAACACAGAGCAAGGACTGCTCTGCCCACACTGACACGCTCCATTATGGCCACAACGGGCACAAGCACAGCCATGGCATTGCAGCCAGACTCCTGCCCTGTCCCAGCAACAAGCACAGCACCTACAGCAACACTAACCAAAGGAGGAAAGGGGGCTTGTGTTTTCCTCCCTTATGCTGCTATTTGCTCTTTTCCCCTGCCTTTTGAAACTGCAGATGAGAAGAGTAAATATTGGAAAGTTATCCTTTGTATCTCATGATCAGATCACAAGCTAGCATGTGACTCGGGAGGGAAAAACAAGTCTTTCCAGCAGATGTCGAGGCAGCGAGCTGGCTCTGCTGACTGCTGTACCTTGCTGTCTGCAGCCAAAGTCAGTTCCTGGTGCATCCTTGAGGTACAGAACCTCATGATTCATCAGGATTTTATTCTCATTAAAGAAAACCCAGATGACTTTCATTTTGGGCTTGTCTATTTAGCAACTCTGAATATAATGTGTACATAAGGCTAAATAGCAGCTTTCAGCCACTGTTTTGTAAACAGGCTCCAGCCCAGGAAGAGCAAGAGCAGTTTGGAGCCACCCTGTAAGTCATGTGCTGGGGGACTAAGCAAAAACCTCCCACTGGGCAAAGGGACTGGTCAAGCAGGAGCCCAGGTGTGCCAGCCCATGAAAGGGCCTGTGCTGTGCTCTGAAGGCCGGGGTGGAAGCAGCTGCTCTAGGGGATCAGGGAAGCATCTCCCCGTAAGGAATGGGCTCTGCTGGTACATAGGCTGGCTGCCCTCCCTCTGACAGCACCTGGGGACTGCCCATTCCCAGAGGCTGGAGCTGGTGCTGCCGTGCCCCAGCACACACAGGGCAGCGGGGCCCTTCCCCACACCAGCACCAGGGTGATAAGTGATACCACATCTCTCTGCAGTGGCCCCACCACATCCCATCACATGATGGGTCAGCAGTGCGTGGGAAGTCAAAGGCTGAAAGCTAAAAAAAAAACAAGTTACTTCGGCCAAGTCCTTCCCCACAGGAAATAAAAATTGGAGCTGAGCTTTAGCAATTTGGGTTTGACCAGACTTTTCTTGCCTGAGGCCTGGGGTGAGTTTGTCTCGCCGAGCTCCTGACCAAGCATCCATCAAGGAGAGGACTTGGAGACATGCAGGTGACAAGCAAAGGGTGTGTCTACAGCACTCCTGGAGTCCCACATCAGGACGACTCTGCATGGAGAAGAAAGTCTCTCACAGACCTTCCCATCCCCACGAGGCACAGAGCCAGCACACCAGATATTCGCACAGCCGCTGTCCTCATGCCCCGGCTCAGCCAGAAAAGCTGCTCCCTCTATGGGACTGGCACACAAGGCTTTGCCCTTCCTTTGCCCAGGCTCCATGGACAATCAGAAGCTATTTTTAACCTGGCTCTTTCTTTTCCTCTGCAGAGACGCTTGAATGGCTTTCCCCCCGCACACGGAAGCGCAGGGAGCAGGACGTCGTCTCTCATTGTGATGGGAAAGGTTATCGGGTCCGAAACAAAAGTGAAATCATCCACTGGCATTCCTGGGACAGAAATAGCTGCTGCTTCCAGCACTGACGTTATCACAGAGGAAGGAAGGCTCCGGATCCAGGCTGTCCCGCTCCAGGGCTCACGTACTGGCCCTGCAGCGAGCCAGCAGCAGGGCTGCCAGCGAGCAGAAGCAAAATGAGGCATTTTTACCACGGCAGATTAAAGAGAACTTAGTGCATGAGCTCCCAAAGTTGCCATCACTGCCAAGCAGCCACAGAGCCTCACACAAGCAACACTCAGCAAGAGCCCAGCGAAGAATCTCATCCGCCTCATGTTAATGTTCAGGGCTAGAGCCCTCCTGGGGACAGCACGGGGTGGGGAGAGCTGTGGCAGATGGACACCCCTAACAGGGACTCTGTGAGCCTCTGGCCCTGCTGCTGCCAGCCTGGGGCTGTGGTGCCCTGCCTGTGGAACTGGGTCTGCACAGGAACATGGGCAGCCAAGGCAAGGCTTGGCTGTCAGTTCACTAAAAGCATCTTTACCGTTCCACTTGTCTGGGCTTTTTTGGTATTGTTTTTTCCTCTAGCACAGATAGATTAAATCCAAGAACCAGCATAACCACAAAGCCAAGTGTATCTGTCAGGCCTCTCTCAACAGAGGCATTTAGGTGTTTCTCAACTGAGACTTGTCACAAAACAGTGGCTTTCTGAAGGCAGAAGTAGCTGTCAGCCCACAGGTCTCTGGCATAGAGCTGCCCAGGGTCACTCTGAGCCAGCAGCGTGTCCCCTGCCCCTGTCCCCACCTTGCCTCCTGCCTTTTTGCAGCCACTCCCATCAGGACGTCTGCAAGAAAAGCCAGGAAACCACCCAAGAATCGCTTGTCCCTCATGCTACAGGAAACACAAGCTGCTGGGAAGTCTTTGTTTCAATTTCTCTTCTCAAGGCAGGACTGAGCAGGCACGGCCCCAGGCTGGCCCAGCACCTGTGGAGGCGAGCTGGAAGGGAGGACTGCAGGGAGACACCAACACCACCTGCTGCTCTCAGTCCTGCATCTGAAACTAAGCCAAAAGCCTGGGAAAGGGCTGCAGGGACAGGCCAGGAGGGCTGTGGGTGCTTTGCAGATGGAGAAGGCAGGAGCATGCAAGAGATCCTGCAGAGCCCAGTGGAGATGGGAGCGGCTGACAGGTGGCACGCTGGAGGTATGGCATCTGCCAGGATGTGGGGAGGGCAGGATTTGGGGAACCCAAATGTGCTGAGCAGCTTTCTGTGAAGCCCTTGGGACTTCCAGCCTGAAAGAGGAGCTCATGTACTGGGCATCTGGGCTAAGAGGTAAACCTCCTCCAAAGCTTCAGATACCTCTTTAAATACCTCTGTGTGGGAGCACTGTCAGGAGCAAGGGGTAAGTCATGGCAGTGCTGAAGCTGGGAACCAAGGAACATGAAAACTAGGGGTAAATTTTACTTGCCCGAACACACAGCAGAACATTTACCAAAGTTGTCCAAGGTGTTTTCCCAATAAGCTAAGCACTCCACTGCCTGCCAAACTCACATTCTTCTCAGAGATTTAAGGCTCTTCCTCATTTGAATTGCAGTAATGAATTAATACTTTGAGTGCCTCCAGCTGCCAGCAGCTGCCTTGGACTTAATTGCACCCAGGAGCCTTTCCCAGGAGCTGCAGAACTCTCCAGCCCAGCCCAGGCAGCAGGAGCAGCCCACGGATACTGCAGATGCTGGTTCATGCAGACCCAAGGAGGCCAGGAAACACGAGCCAGTGCTGTCCATATGGACTCTGGCTGGGATGGCAGAGCCACCAGCACAGGCTCCAGTGTGGCTTTCCTGGCTTTGTTGACGGGTAAAGCTTTATCACTGTTAAAACACCATTTGTTGCTGCGACTTTTCCCCCCCTTCTTAAATGTCAACTTGAAAAGAAAAATTCGGGAAAGGTCACTTACCAGAGAGACTGGCACAGCTCCAGTCACTTAGATAAATATGTGTAGGGTCAGCTGCTGCAAGAGGGGATTTTAAACCAGTTATTTACCTGGTTGAACAAGTGTTGTGTTTCTGCAGAAGAGCGAGACTTTGATTGCCTCCTGCAAGGTACATAATCTCCTCACCACCCATCCATTGCTGCTGGGATTGTTAACCATTTAGGACACCCAGGTGGAGAAGATGCTTAGCTCAGGATGCCAAATTTCCTATTTAAGGGCACATGAGCACCTGTGAAATCCCCAGGCTTACTCTGAAGACCGAGACACTGCTAGCCTGACACTGTGGAGAGCTAGTCAGCAACAACCTCTCTGGACTCCTTCCTCAGGCGGAACCCACTTGGGCTGCTTGCATGGCATGGGGCTGGTCACCATTGGTTCTTCAGGCCAGCTGAGCCATGAATTCTGGGCTGGAAGCAAAGTGCCAGAGACCCTGTTAGTGAGGAGCAGCATTATCCATACCTGGATGCACGCAGAGCAGAGCTGGAGCAAGGTGCGCTGGGTCCCGTTCTTATGGCAGCCTGAGACCTAGTGCTCCCTTCCCTCCTGCTTTGCCAGGTGGTAAAAAAGGGTAACAGCAACATCCCTGAAAAATCCCCAGCTACCCAAAGGCACAGGTGACCAGGGGCTGCTTTTGCAATGCAGTCAGCAGGTGTGCTGATAAGGAGCAGTCCCCACAGGCACAGCCCCGTGATGCCCTTTATCTGCTGCCTCTGCACTTCATCTCAGCAGGTCCTTTTGCCTCTCACCTGGTGAGTTTCTGCCACACTGCTGAATGTGCTGGCAGCAGCCAAGAAAAGGATTTGACTAAAATAATAAACCACTTGTCTTCCTGTCCCAGCCTTCCCTATGGCTTTCCAACAAGAGAAAGTTCACAATTCTGTTGAACAAAATATTCTGATTTTCACCCTTGTTTATAAGCAGTGCTATTTATGACTTGCCTAGAGCGCTCCATAGCTCAGTAGTCCCCAGACCAGCACATGGACTTCACAGCCCAGAGCACTTCCCATGACTCCACCAGCCAGATGAGTCTGCTGCTAATTGGGCTTCCAAACCACCACCAGCTGAGCACACTTGGTTGATCAAGGTCCTGCCTGAGAGGGGCACCACCTCCATCCCCCCAGCCTCCTCTCACTGCTCAGCATTCTTCCTGCAGCCAACACTTCTGCAAGGGCTTGGATGAGACCATCACCTCCACGAGCTGGGAAAGCTGGAGTCACTCCGGAGGACTGGCACCTACCCCACAGCAGGCAGGGAATGGCTGTGCCAGCGCCTGCTTCATGGTGAACCCCTGTGGCCAGGCTTGCTGAGCAACTTCCCGGCAGCAGCCCCCGTTTCAGCGGGAGGAGAGTGTGCTCCTGCCAGACCTTCAGCAGCCCCAGCTCATTCTCCAGAGAATGCTGGGCCAGACCAAGGGGTTTGGCACAAGAGCTCTTCCCACAGCAAAACAGGCACTCGGTGTCTGTGATTGAGTTCAGCTCAGCTGACAGTGCTTACTCCCAAATAAAACTGAGCACACAGCCTTACTCGGGACACCTCCCAGGCTGTGGGCACCTGAAGGCTTATGCTGACCTTGTAAGGAAACCTGAGCCAGCCAGGGACCCCATGTCAGCCCCATCCCAAACACCCAACGCTGCTGGAACATAACAGCTCCTGGCTGTGTGCAGTGCACAGCTCTGTGGCCTCCAGCAGCCACGTGAAGGGGACACGGCCACAGCCAGCCAAGGTCAAAGGCGTCAGGGCTCTGCTCAATGGGAAATCACCACCACCAGGCTTTCAGAAGTTCAGCTAGACAGAAGAACTGTCAGCAGTGGGAAAAGGGCAGCTGCTGGTGTTGCCAGTAAAAGCAAAAAAAAAAGGAGAAATCAGCCCACCACAGCTTCCGATCGGATGTGACAGCGCTGTCTGAGGTCCTCACCAAACCAAGTGTGTGTTGCAAGCGCAGCAGGAGACCCAGGAGCTCCCAAGTGAGGGGAAGTGGAGAAGGGGAGCCACCTAAAGCACCCCTGATTGTGCACGAACCCGCAGGCAGCTCTCTGCACCTGCTCAAACACACGTTGGGAGGCAGGCCAGCTCCTGGTTACATGTGTGCCACAGCCCTGTTAATGCTTGTGTCCCGTCCTGGCAGCCTGCCCTGAGCAATGGGTGGGTTTTTCCAAGAAAACCAGAGACAGATTGTTCCGTATAGCTGGGGAAACTAAGAGCCTCTAGCATCCCTGTGCTGGCCAGGGTAGATGGCTGCAGGCAGCCTGTTCCCAAACAGAGCACAGCGTTCCCACCAGGCCCCCCACGCCCTTGGAATAATTCAGTTTTTGTGGAATCCAGTCACTTAAAAAAAAAAAAAAGCAAAAACAACACAGAAAACCCTTCCCCAGGCCTGCAGCAATATTTTGTCTGTAAATAATCTAGAGAGCAAGGTCACATTCCCAAGTGGGGAGCACACTGTGGGGAGGGTGGGCAGGGGGCAGAGGGGGATGTGGAACAAGGAATGCACAACGCCCAGCCCCGGGCACAGCCAGCCTGGGGACCAGAGGAGAGCAGGAAAAGGGGGCTGGGGGAGGAGGCAGAGTAGAAAAGGGCTCTAGGGGTAAGATGATTTCACCTTTCATTCACCAGCTGTCCCTGAAGTAGGGACAAACCTGCCACCTGCACCCTCCCACACTTGAGCACATCTCATCACAGGCAGGATGGTGTGTGGACAGAGCAGAGCAGAGCGGGGCTCAGCCTGCCCTGCTGCTCCGTGGGCTCGGTGGCAGCACCTCACACAGGCAGGAGTTGCCCTGCCCACCAGGGAGCATCCTGCAACTGCTCCTTGCAGGGGATGTGCATCCCTGCAGGGATGGCACAGATGTGCCACCCCTGGCACCCCTGGCACCCGCTGAGCTTGTGCCCAAGGCGCTGAAGCCCAGGCCTTTGTGCATTGCTGCTGCAGCGGGCTCTGGGTGGCAGCTCCAGCGTGGCCACCGGGACTGCCCAGAGCTGCTGGCAGCACCCAGCTGCACCCTGCCAAAGGGCAGCTCCCTGGCACGGCGGGGATGTGCTCCAGCAGTTCAAAGCCCTTTCCAGCATGCAGGAAGGGGAGCAGGGGCACTCTGGGAAACCACCCACAGCCTGGATCGAGCCTGGAGCAGATGGCAGAACAAACAGCGCCGGGATTTCTGTTTCACATAATCTTTCACCCCGCTCACTCCCACGCTTAACCTTTTCCTCCCATGGAGCAGGACTTTGCTTGGAAAAAGAGACCAGGAAACCTGGAAGGGTTTCAGAGTGGCAGGTGTTCTGCTCTGAACATCAAGGACAACACACAAGAGCCCAGATGATTTTTCTTTTATTTAAAAACAGACACAGGCAACATTTGTGCTGTTTTGTGCCTTTTTCAAAAGAGTTTATGAGTAATTATTTTTCCTTTTTCTACATGAGGTGAAGGGTGATGCTGCCGTGGCAGAGAGCTGCCCACAGGACTGGCAGTGAGAACACTTCAGGATGGCAGGTTTTTCCTGCCACAGCCATGAGTGACCTGTGCTGTGCAGCAGCTCTGGCAGGAGGGGTGCTCTGGCTGGGAC